AAGAAACGGGAGGGAAAAGGGAGAGGAGGAGGGAAGGGGTCAAAGAAGGGACGGCGAAGGCGACACGGCACGTGCAGGGTCGAGGATGGCTCAGCCGCCCAGTGTCTGCTGGCTGCTGACACACACTTAAGAAAATGCAATCAGTGTGAGGCTGTCATATGTGCGAAACAAGCCAAAAGCAGTGCCTCGGATGACACCCGAAAGTTTTTTAAAACGAAAATCGATTTAATTTGATTTAGATAAAACATTATCAAGATTTCTTATTTTAATAAAATTACATTACTCGCCGTAAACACTTTTACCAATAAGAAAACATCACAAGAATATATCTATTGAACCTACTTCAAAACTACCTACAAACATTTTAATTTTTTTCACATATTTTTCTCAGTTTCTCGTGTCATTTACCAAGATCTGTGACTGGAGTTTCCTCTCCACACCTACATTTTCACTCCATCTCGCAGAATATCATTCTCACATTAACACCATTCTCTAAATGAATACTATCCTTTTCTCTCGAACATCGGTCTCCTCGCGAACACGCAACGTTCCGATCAAAATAAGAAAACGCTTGCCAAATCAACAGAACATCTAGTAGCGACGCTCCAAAAATATTTACTTCAAGGGAGTATTGATGTTGGCAGTTTCTACTGAAATTCTTCGTCTTAGAAGTTATACAGAATTGAGTTTTTAAGAATTTAAAACTGTATAAAACGTAAAGAAATACTTTTAAAATGTTTAAATGTCTTGAGAAAGAATAGAGAATTGCACATGAACATGTGTACTCTCTCAGCGGAAACAGAACAGAGAAGCCTAGAATACGATAGTAAACAACGGGACTCAAAGGGACTTACAAGTCAAATCTTTGCCAGAAATTCGCAGTAAGAATCAAGGACTCAAAGTTCTGCGGGGATTAAAATGAATTTTTTCGAGAGCTCATTTGAAGGCATAGGGCCGAATTCATAGTCGACGCTTCCTTTAGGGAATCCTTAAGCACACAGTGATTGCAAGTAAGTGTTCGCATATGTAGGCCAGTATTCCACAGGCATTCACAATGAACCCGGAATGACTGAGTGTTTAAGTGGCTGGCAACGCAGCAAAGTGTCATTTGCGCAAGCTGTTTCGTGGTTGAGTAGCTACAAAGTGTCCATACTCTATATTTTTCGTTACAAAGAGCTTCCAACTTGACATGCGCGGTTTCGAGGCTTTTCGTAATTGTTCATCTCCAGTAAACTATCCTTATCTTTCATGTGTTGCGAGTAGCATTAAAAACATTTGCGAAATCATTGTCGTAGATTTCCGTAGTTCAAGTGAGAGCCACGTAAGTAAACCTAAACCAGAGAAGAGGAGGCCATATGAGGAACACTTCATGGAACGAGCGATTTCCCTTACGCGCTCGGGCGTTCACTCACTGCCCACACTTTTGAGCATAAGAATCGGTCACCTAAGAAACGCTCATTTCAAAGGACCATTATGGACTCAGTCCCTCACCTCCAAAGAGAGCCTTTCTCCGCATGAGATGTCGCTGACGTCTTCCTACAACATCCACCCCCCGCCCCCTCGCTTTCCATCCGGAAGATTGCACAACTGACCTCGACAGGCCTCGGTTCGTTCGGAGAAAGTGAGAGCATTCCTCCGGCGAACGGCACGGCACGGCATGGCGCGGCGCGGCGCGGCGCGGCGCGGCCTCTCGGAGTAGGCCGCGGCGCTCCATTATGGGGTACATACCGGGTACGAAACCCGACTCACGACAATAGCTTGCCATGGAATTGAAGCGTGCGCACGAATCACGAAAAGTGCCAAAGAGCGCATTGTGCAGGAGAGCAACAGGAAAAATAAATAAATAAATCACAACTCGATACTTCCATTTATTCGCTTAGGATGAACTGTACACGTGCCCCATAGTTCCATTTAACTCTGCACATCTAGAAAGGTTTCAGTAATAACAAAGAATAGCTTTTCACAAATAACATAACACAATCTACTAATAATGTATTTATTATTAAAAATATTGTTTTCGTAAAAAAAGAAAGGTTGCAAACCGTACAAATTGTGGTCACAAACAGTAAAAAACGAGTTACAAACCATACAAGCAAAACGAGATGCATGGTCTGTTGTTTACACGCGTCCTGTTGTTCCATTAGAAGCAAAGTATGAACTTCAACTAAATCGAGCATTCCGGCCACCATCAAGCCACTTTTTGATGAAATTATTTCTTCTTCGTGTTCCATTGAAAAGTTGTCCCAGTTGTCTCTTTCGACCGCACTATTCAATCTTTGTATAAGGGATGGGTCGCTCAGCCCTTTACAAAGGCAAATGTCAAAAAATTTCACTCGCACGTTCCAGAACTATTCAACTAAAAACTGCATGCACTTCAATCTATAGATCCTTTTCTTTCAATATCAGATAAAACATTTCTTGAAGAACTGAAGGGAAGATAGTAACGCAAAATAAAATATTTGTCCTTCAAATATATGGGAAACGTACGAAATTTAAATAAAAAACAAAATAATAATAAAAAATGTCAATTTACTTAGTTTCTTGTCAATTTTGAATTAACCAATATCTAAAATCGAAACGCGATTCTAATAACTTCCGACAGTCCTATCGCTTAGATTAAGAGCATAATAGAATACGCTCAAAAGGGATCGATAATATCGAAGTTCAAACACATTAAAAGGAGAGAACATGTTTCTGTATTGTTGTCATGCGTCATAATTATCCAACTTATGAATACACTAACGAGTATTGAAAGAATGATATACTAACCAGTACTCTCTGAACGAATGCGAAATGAAATGATCAATACTTCCTGGAATTTACTAGTAAAACACAGCAAATACATTAGGACTGTGTAAAAAAGTAACCTGTAGGCCTTTTGTGAATATTTTGATTGCACTGCCTAAGGTACACTGCCTCAATACAGGAATGTTTCTAGATAACACATGCTTTGCGATGAAATCTTAAAATATAACTCATACTTTTCGATTTTTGGAAAATGTGTAGAAAGGCATTTTTGTAATATATGCTTACTAGATTTAAATTTACATATTTAATTTTGCCACGGCAATTTAATGCTACCATTCTCTCAAAAATATGTAAGTCATGTAATTTATTACAATTTTTTGTAAACAATAAAACATCTCCAGAGACAGCTATTTGATTTTATTTTAAACATAACATGAGTAATAAGATTATTGCAGGTGTGTTGATTTACGTACAACTACAAATCAATTTACAACAGAAACCTACAAAACATACATAAAATATACGCTTCTTTTTTCACAATAAGATATATTCCGCGGCACTGCAAACTAGCAGATGAAACAATATTCTGGGCTTCTCAAATAAATCTCTAATAATAATCTTTCTAAAACGTTATCTCTTTTCAAACACGTATGTTCAACGTAAAAAACCTGAACCAAACCTGAATAAAACTAGGACAAAATAAATAAATGAATCACACAGTATTTGAGAAAATTAAACAACAAATTTTCTCTAATATATGAACTAAGTTTTATTGTTATTAGTGAATCATTTCAAAAAACAATTATTTACTGCGATCGTTTGCGGTAGCAACAATCTTTTAACGTGCAAGAGAGTGACAGTGTGGAGGACGCTCACATAAAACGCCAGAAACAAACGCACGTGTTTCCTTCCACACGTCAGCCCGATGAGTGGGGTACGATGAGCTTCTTCCACAAATTGTGACGAAAACTGCGTTGGAGCAAACGAGCGGTAACATTTACGTTTACAACTAGCCTACAAAAAAATATCTTAATGTTTACCTTTCCTAACGACAAGGCTAGAACAACCTGCGTCATTTATTCATTTTTGTGACATCGATTACTCGGGGAACTTGTCGACAATCATATTTCCTATGACAGGGCGTAGGCCTAATGACTCTCATTAATGTCAAAGAACCGTGAGGTAAAGAATTACTCTCGTAGTCGGGACAACCACTCCACTATAAACGTGGACACCTTACATTCTGTCTGATATACAAATGTAAGCGTTTGGGAAAAGTTTTGTCACAGTGACAGAGAAAGTGTTTCCAGTAAGTCTGCCACTTACCTCGCCAGTCACGCGAATGCACTGCACCGGCGCAGAGGCTGAGAAAGCAATCGGAAACGGCGAGCGCCGCCAACAGGTCCCCTGCCAATCAACACTGGCCCTTTAACATGCACACACGCGTAACCGCCGCCTCACACTCTCAGCAAATCGACGTCGAGAAAGGCAAAAACAAGAAGCACCTCGTGTGTTAAAGTTTATTGCACTAGCGAGACCAGTTACGAAAAAGTTTTGTCAGTCTGCAACCACGAAACTTTCTTCGGCGGGGCTCGCCACGCCGTCCGGCTTTATTCTGAAGCGCCTCGTGGACGGAGGAGCAGCGAGGCCCGCTCCGGGTCGGGTCGGTGAGAAAAAACACCGGGCACGGTCGCTCGCGTCCAAAAAATTCCTCTGGACCGGCCGCGGCGGCGATGCTACAGTCGGCCAACACAGCATTATCTGCCCGATATGCGAAGTTGCAAGCAGCCGGCCGTCCTACTCCCCTCCCTCTCGCCCTCCAAAACGCGACCAACCCAAACGTGGAGCTCCCTCCATTTTCCGGCCGCGCCACGCTGTGCTACTCCGAGCCGTCGGCGCCTCCCGCCCCGCCCCTGCCACAGAGGGCGCGCGACCGCGCCGGGCTGCAACGCAACCAACGCAGCAGCCTCCAGGTCCTCATCTCGCCGTGCCCTTCGCACGCCGCCGCCGCCGCCGCCGGCGACCAATGCAACACACGCGACCATGCAAATATTGCCGGCCGGCCACACGATTTGGGAAGTCGCCGTTGAATGAAACATGCACACAATGTAATGGGTCTATCAAAATGATGCGGGACTCTTGTGTATGCTTCACTATTTTATTCATTATTTTCAGTGTAAAAAAAAAACAAAACACTTTCATTGTTTTCTCGTTTAATTCACTATAATAAAAATCATTATCGAAAAAAACAAAATGTGTATTAAATAAGAAATGCATCTCAGAATATGAGGAAAATCAATGAAGCATTCCGTTATGTACTTATCACTTTAATTTGGAACCACATATTAAATTAATACCTTAATGTAGTAATACCCCCATCCAATCAAATATTCATGAAATCATATAAAAAGGTTACATATAAAAACAATTACTCTCCAAAACAACTCATGGTAATTGTGAAGAGTATCAATCTTTACATTTATTCAGAAATAATGGCACATATTTTGTACCATTGCTTTAAAAATGTTTTTATTTACCCATATTTTAACATAAATGTTAGAAGTTACGATATAAGAAACAGCAAACAGTTATTTCACTTAGTAAAGCATTCTCATTGGTTTGATTTCACATTTCAAACATTTTCAAGTAGTTAATGTAAGTGTATTTTAAAGATTAAAATCTAGATAAACAACTGGCACATGAAAGTGAATGAAAAACTCTTCATAAAATTAATAGACCCTTCCAAGAAATCCCAGTTAACAGCAATTCATTCCCATTATTATTTTCCCGCAATTATACATATTATAAAGGACCAAATAATAATATATTAAAACATACTGAAAAAGAAACACAAAATAATATGAAGATTGTGTATTAGTTTTAACAAGTTTATTCATCTAGCACATTTCGCATAACACAGAGTTGTTTTTATCAAAAAATTAATGAAAATCAAAGTGAATTGAATCATGTCTTTGAACACATAGCAGTCTGGAATCTGGTCGTCACTACATTTCATCCAAATTAAGTCAGTTACACTTCACAAACGAGCAACAGAACTCAGAGGGCAGTTGAATGTCCCAGTATGTGTGCGTAGTATATAACAGAGATATTTATCATAACTTACTCAAAATACTTAAATTAAAATAAAGTTATTAGAATCAAATGAAAGGGAAAAATCAGTTTATAAAATCGAGTTTGGGTGCTACAGTAAACAATATAATACAAAACGTTCAAACATAATAAAAAATCTTACCTATAATGCTCTGACAGAAAGAAAATGAAAATGTCATAAGGATGCACCAAATAAAGTTGTCATGAACGCTTATCTCAAAACAAGTATCAAAATTGTCTACAAAAGTTAAACAAAACAGACACAAATTTTACGTCACGTTACACAGTCAGCCATTTTCTAAGCCATTTCCGGAAAATAATCAGTTGACGCACTTGAAGTACACATATATTTTATCAGTCCCTTACAACTACTACTATTAATCTCAAGTTATAATTATAGTTTTTTATAAATGATTATCTTTCACATTATTTCTTTTCCTGTTAATTGACAGTGGAGTTGAAGAAATGTATGCAACTTCAATGTTTTGAAATAAAAACATTACATTGTTTTCGTTTTACTGTTGTAGTTTGCCTTCTGTATAAGTACACAACATTAAGAAATCATGAACTGTGATAGGTAATACGTATATACATTACTTTGTATACAATTTGAGTACATATTGCGAATTGCACGTACCTAACCTATCACAATCCCGTAATATTTGTGCCATTTGACATTATGCTTTCAGATGTAAAATTACTATTCAGAATAACGAAAAACTATCATCCTTCGTTCGTATCGATGGTGTATCTTTCAGCTTGAGAAGGTGTCCCAATTGTTCCAAGTGTTGGTATAAACACAGTTCAGTGATGAATAGTTTCATATTGTAAAGGATACATAGTTCTACCTAATGTTTTTTATTCAAGGTATTGGTTTTCAAGTGCCAGAAGGGTGGTGCTCAATTGACCAGATACTTAAAAGAGATTTACAAATATCTGGTTTGCACCCTGTAAGTATTTTAAAATAAAACTAGTCAGTAGAAAAGAGTTTAAAATATCATCTTCACATTTAAGGCAATTTCCACTGAGGATAAAGTAATACACTACATTCTTAGACAATTTCTACATAATGAAGATGAATACTTGAAAGATGATACTCAAGCAGTATTTGATGAACCTGACAAAGATGACATAGTAGTGTTACTGTGGATAAATGGGAGTGCCATTGGATTTTACACGCTTAAATCAAAAGGTAATGTGAGTGCTCACTGACATTATCCATGAATTCTTCGAACATTAATGATAAAACTTTCCTGCAGGAACATGGATAGAAGAAACAGATGAAGCATATAACATGACTACATTGGATACAATATTCATAAGAAAGTGTCATAGAAGAAATGGCTACTGTCAGGAAATGTTGAGACACATCTGTGCATCCAACAATCATGAGGATATTGGTGTCAGTAAACCTATATCTCCTGAAATGAAAGCAGGTACAAAACAAGCAAATACACATTCCTCTATATCAGTCAATTGTCTTTCTACAAATTTCAACTGAAGTACTGAAGAAAATGCAACTTAATATTAATACATTAACCTATACTGTGTCACTCATGACTGAAGTTAATGCAACACAAAATAAAAATAAAAAAGTTTAAAAAATTGATAATTTTATGTTTTATAATATGTTATGTAAATGGTCAATTGAAAAGTTATGATTTTGTTTCTGAAAATAATGATTCTTTTAAATACCAATTTTCCAATTCTATGTTCAAAACAAATTATACCTATAGCTGGAAAAAAAGAGTAAAGCAAAGGCACACTCATAAATTTTAGACAAATTTTAAACATTTAATCACTACATTTTTTATATTTTTGTTTGCTAATCAAATTGCGCATTATCCAAAAATATGGTGGTAGAAAAATTTTTCATGTTTTTTTTCAGTATCTCAGATGTTTCTAAGAATTAATACCTCACATTTTTCATTTACTAATTGACATACCTAGATAACCAAATGCACCATGATTACCAATTCGATGGTGGTTGGGTGAAGGGAGTAATGTGATAAACATGTTTGTACTAAAGTACAAATAAAATTTCTTGAAAGGAAAAAATATTTTAAAAATATAAATTCCACATTTTAAATGCATATCTGTTATGTATAACTCCCGAAACTGCCAAACTCCTTCACAAAAAGTGACATAACTCTCTTTAACAACACACCATTGAATTATTATAATTGTTTCATGAAAAAAAGTCGCGTTATTTTCCAGCTCTTCAAAAATTTCTCACAGACCAACCACACATGCGTAGTAGGTTATGGGAGATAAATGGTACTGGAGGAGAAGGCCATCAGAAGTTGGTATGGTATGTGCTTGCTAAAGAAGAGAAATGTAGGCGAACAATGTACTCAGGCTCAGAAAAGTAACTTGAAACTTACTTGAAGAATGCAATTATAAAGAAAGAATTGCTTCAATAGTCCAAATAATGTATTAGTTCTTTAAATGCTGAGGATTGAATAGAAATTTTGATCTGTTATATTCATAAGTCGAGATGAAAGATACTTTTTTTAATTTTTAAAATTCTACCAACTCAATAATTACAAAACCTTTATCATGTCACATTTGACATGCAGGGAGAATATATTTTGTACATTAACTATACATCTGATTCTAATGAAATACAATGGACTACTGTATCACCCATAGAATTATATTACATGTATTTAAGAGCAGAAATGATATTTACAATCCTATTGAAAATGAGCAATTCCAGGATAAAATAATACGAGGGCTTTTGAAAAATATCCATACACAAGCAGCATTCATATATATGTACAAGAATAGAATATATAATAGAAAATCAAATGTTACATAAAATTATTTTGGGTATAACATGGAACCATAAATATAAAAAACATAATTCTTTACAGAGAGTTAATAGCCAAAAAATGCCCAAAATAACATGAAAATGAAACATCTTCGTGTGAATATCAGAAATCTTGCAACAGAAAAACATACAAAAGTAAATTCAGTTTTAAGAGCAATCACATTATTAGACATTGAAGGTGTTGAAAGTAAAGTATAAAATGACCCATAAAACATGAATATAGACATTGTACATCTCGATGATAATACAGAATTCCATAGAAACACAAAAACTGCATTCTTCAACTTGCAGGCTGTCAAACAATAACTGTTTCTCTTGCATATCAAAACCTCCAGACACTTAATTTATTTTTCTATTTCCATTTTAATGGGAGAGTAGTACCAACATAGAAAAACAATTTCCCCACATGCCCTGGAATGTAATATTTCAGAGGCAATGTCCATGCCTTTTCATTATATAGATACAAAAATAAGAATTACTGTATGTTATCCGTATAGTATGAAAGAACATAAGTTGTCTTGCCATTAACTTCGTAAATGGCTCTTAATTTCATTTAAGAGCATAGATCCAACAACCATCTTTTCACAATTCACAGATACATTGACTTGTTCACCATCTAATATCTTTATTATTATAAGGACCAAAGACTTAGATGACAATGTCTGCCCTGCAAATCTGAAACAAATATAATTATCATCATTACATGGATACTGTATTCCTTATAACAACTCATACATCAAACCTTATCAAACTCGGGAAAGAAATTCAACAAAATAAATGACAGTGTCATAATTACTGGGTCTGGATGAAAATAAGCCAATTTGTTTGTTGTACACTCGATGGCCCACAAAAAATGAAGAAAAAATGAAAAAAATCTACTAAAAAATATTAATGCAGAATTGAATATCCACCTACCTCAAAACACTAGGATCGGTGCCAGGAATAGCTGCCACATTTGCAATTTCATATACCCTTTGACAAATCGCCTTTGAATTGTTACATGTAATTGGCAATGAGAGAGATGCAGTGTGTTCAGTCATTCCTTTCAATTTTCCTGAGAAGAAAACCGCAATAATACAATTACCTCCATACTTGAATTTTGTTTTGAAACCACATAAAACAAAATGCTACTTCTTTACCTTGTTCAGAAATGAAGAGATTCTCGGGCATTGTAACAGCACGAATAAGCTCTCCTATTGAAGCTCGTAAGTTCACTTTGCACGTTCGTTCACTTGTAACTATTTCAAAACTGATAGGCTGGGTTGAATCATTAAAATCAATGCCAACTGTACCTGGCAAACTTGTGCCTACGTGTAAGAGTCCAATAGGAGCAAAATCGTGCATTGTTATACCTGGGGGAAGATTCTGAGAAAACAACAAATAAATTGGTTGTTTATTATTTGCATTTCGTTCATATAAACATTTCAAAAATTTCCCGTTTAGCATTACCTTCTGCCCTACTTTGATGTCACTTATGTCTGTACTTCCCATATTTGTGAATGTGAATTCAATCGAAACCATTGATGGAGAAAATAAGTGAGGGGATCGGGTAAATCTCGAAACAACTGTAAGACCACCTCCACTCACTCGATTCAATATTTCAGTTGTTTTCATAGGTATGAAACTAGCACTGGCATGCTGAAATTAATAACTTGGTTAAGGTGGTAGAAGGGAAATTGTGGAGCTCCAGAAAACAAGCACACACTGTATTTCTTCCCAAATATCACACACAATTGTTAAGAGTATTTTGAAGTTAAATAAATAAAAGTAAACTTCCTTTCATCGATCTCAAAAGTGTAGCAAAAGTTCATACCTGTTCAAAAGTTGGGTCATATGAATCAATAAGTATATAAACAACTCCATACCTGGATGGTAGTGGAAGTCAATGGGGCAACAGGCGTCGTTAATGGAGTTAAGAAGCCACCCAATGAAGGGGTCATCACTGGAGTAATTGTTGGGGGAACTGTAAAAGAAACATTATTAGCTTCATATTACCAGTAATAATACAGAACATAATAAATTTACAATCAAATTTCCAAATTACCGTCATCCAATTCTAAAAGCAAATCCAAATTGCTTTTTGGTTTGGCAGCTCCAGATCTGGACTGATTAGTGCTTACAGATCCCTTAACTACAGCAGTTGCTTCTTTTGGCTTCTTTTTCTTTTCATTATCTGACGAATCATTTGTTTCTGAAGACTCACTAGCCTTATCGTCATCATCATCATCATCCTCTTCATCTCCGCCTCCATCAGAAGATGAGGAAGATGAAGATGAGTCGTCGTCATCTTCCTCATCAGAATCTGATTCTGCTGAATCATCGGATTTTTTGGAGACTTTCTTAACACTTGGTGCATTAGTAGATTTGCTCTGGCAACAGAAACCATTACATATTCATAATTTTTAAAGAGTACTAGAAATAATCAACCGTTAGCCTTAAAAAGAGATACAGTGTTATCTTTCTCCCTTTTTAAATGACATTGAGAGTTGTCAATCATTGTGAAGGCATTATATTACACAAAGAAAACCTTTTATTAACCCTTTTGCTGAATTATTTAATGTTGAAAGTCAGATTTACACAAATATGATTGCAAATTTCACAAAACTCAACAGAGTAAGGTCTTTGTAGGTAAACTTACTGGTCTTTGAAATTATTGCCAAGAAAATTGAAAACAGGATACTGCAAATTCCAATCAATGAAGAATTTACCACAAAACTCAGTAATACTAGTTATACTACCAGCAATACTCAGTAATACTACCAGCAAAACTCAGTATATCTAAAAAAAATTGATCCAAATGGAAGTATATTGATAATATTGAATTGCAAATTAATATAGAAGAAGTAAGAAAAAGGATTCAGAAAGCACTTTTGTTTTAAAATGTCGAATTTGCAAACAAATAATCTACACAAAATTTCTTTTTTTTTCCCCTCAAAAAATCTGGATAGAGAGTTTTTTAACTAGCTGACACACATCTTCGGTACAGCACCACTATCTGATACTCTTCACAAGGTTAATAAGTATTCTGCTCAACACACTTCATACTGAGAGTAGGTCCATCAAGTTGGCCCATTTGAAAACAATAAAATTGGAATGACAGCTGTTGAAACTAATTGCTTAGCCACTAAAACATTTCTATAATACAAAGAATCACTAAATTGCACAAGTTTACTTGTTTAAGATGGCCACTTGCAAACAAAACTAATTTTGAATATTTAGTAAAGATCCCCATTCAAGTACTTTCTTTTGTGGGGTACTTTCTTCATTTTCATCAGAATATGCAAAATGTTCTCATTTTATGAGATTTTATAATTGCCAATAAACTTTATGAAGATTTGATTTAGCCCTCTTTAGAATTCTATTTTTGATCCTCCATACTACATATTTTGTCAAACTATTAAGATTGAATGTTCCCTCACCTGACAAAAAAATATGTAAGTATTTTAAAAGGTTTTTAGCCAATTTACTAAATGAAACTAACATAATATTTTTATTAAATAAATCCATTAATTTAATGCAAGTCCAATTTCTTTTACCCCTCTGAAATCGAAAATTTCAAGAGGGGCAAGCAAGAAACTGGACATAAGATCAAGGATATGCAATTCCTCCCAATACTTTTAGTGTAAATTTGACAAGCAATCAGTTTGTGAAGATAATGTAATGTTCAATATGTAACACCAATAACCCCAGGGTGCAAGTCAAAACTCCAAAGACTAAGTCAAAAAACACCTATTTTTGTTCCTTTCAGAACACAAGATACAATATATGCATCTAAAAGAATAGATGCGATGATGTGATTCAAATGCATCATCACCCATTTGAACCTGAAAGTATAATGAACCGAATGAACCTGAATTTGAAACTTTAAACCTCTCCTGAAAAGAAGCTATTTTTGACTAGCACACATCTTAGAACTATGAATATATAGAAATGAATAATGCATTTTGCATGTTTTCTTTACTTCGGAAGTCAATTTAGCACTCCTCCCCCCATTTTTTTTCTTACCACACTTTTGCTGTTTTTTAATTAATAGAATTCACAAATTTGATGACAAAAAATTTAAGATTATAATATCAAGAAATAAATATTACACATGTGAAGTTAAAAAAACATTATGCCAGTAATAAATAATATGTCTTTCATTGTAATAAAAAAAACTTACATAAATAACTATTTGCTATTAAGATTACCAAGATTGTTAGGGCAGTAGTGCCGTAGGTTTTGGACTAGAAGACCATGGATTCAAGTCTTGCCTTGGGCATGGGTGTATTTGTGTATGTCGGTACGTGTATGCCATCCTTTCACCCCTCACTATCATCATAACCTCATTGTTCATACCCCTAGGGCTAACAAGCTTGGGGGATACAAATTGGTATTCAGCTAAAATGCTGATCCCTTCCGAGAAAGGTAGCTGTACCTGCTAAAGCTGGATGCACACATAGTCTGAGTTGGTCTTAATGCTGGGGGGGAAGGAAATTATTAGTGTTTGCATACCTTTGCTCTCACTTTTGAGTTTTCTTCACTTTCAGAACCGCTTTCTGCCTCACTATTTTCTTCTGAGCTTTCATCATCACTACTATCTTCTTCACTGCTGTCATCTGAATCTGCAAAATATAGCAATGATGAATTCTTGTCAATAGCACAGTAAAGTGTATTGGGGAAAATTTTAAAACAAACTTTACCTTCATCTGCTGGGGAACTGTGTTCTGATTCAGAATAAAATGATCGTTTTTTGACCACATGAGGCTTCTTCACACGAGGTTCTTGGTAAACAGGGGTAGGTTCTACATCCCTTACACCATTGTCCGGAGCCACCTCAGGAAAATCAGGCAAGTCATGATAGCCATTCGCTCGAGCATTTATATAATGAGAAAGGGATCCCAGCTGAAACTGTTCACGATCTGAAACAAAATGTTGACTATACAGAGAAATTCAAACATATTTAATATGATACCGTCAATATTTTTTAACAAAATAGAAGGGGTTACTGAATATCTTAATTAAGAAAGGACATGCATGTCTGAAAAATATATTAAAGACTTACCTTTAAATTTGGATTCCAATACAGGCGCTGGCTTTGTCGCAAGAAAGATTTTCTTTGCATGTTTTGATAATTTTGTTTGCTCGGAACCATTGGTTGGAAATATGAATTGACGCAGAAATCTTGCACGGTCTCTAATATCGTAATTTTGATCATAACGAGCCAAACTAAATACATATTGACAAAGAAGTTTTGTTTGCTTGGGATTTGTTAAATATAACTTCACAGCAAGATTTAGTATTTGAAGCTTAACAATGTCCTCCTGAAATATTAATTTTCATGTGAATAAAATGTCTTGCTAAAACTGCAAGTCCTTAACTTTTATAATCTAAATTAAGATACATAACATAACACATTCATACATTCGTGAACAAGATTTCTGAACTATTTAACAAATAGAAAAGTTCACAGACATGCACATGCATGCACAATAAAAACCTGTTTTAGACGAAAGGGTAAAAGTAACCTATACACTATACACATAATAATCTATTTTGAAGAAGAAAGCATACAAGCACAGATCTTTGAATTTCATGAGAAACAAAAAATATGAATAAAGCAAATGATCTTAAGGATGTCCCTCCAAAGGAATTTATTTAACACTTGTTATTGTCATAATTGTAGGATGTGATAAGAAAACGAGTTTTTTTCTTCTTTTTTGTTCATTACCACTAAAAGCTTATGTTTTGCCCTGGCAATTACTGAAAGACATACAAATTTTATTCCCCCCCAAACACACCTACCCATTTAAGCCAGGGGAAAATTTCAGTGATAAAGTAGTATTGTTGCAATACAAACCTCATTAATAAATGTTTTTGCCATTTTACGAAGTACGTCTGGGGCAATTTTAGGCACACGATCAGAATATTCTCCCAAAAGCCAAAGAATAGATGCTCGTGCCTGTGAAACAGTTATAAAATCTACTAATTTAGCCATATGAATAATAATATCTTTATGTTCATTAGGTTGTGTTTGAAGCAATTTTTTTATTACAACAACACTTTCAGCCACCACAGCTTCTGCAAAAGGATCAAAAACAATTTTTTTTAACCAAAAGGAACATTTTATTTCATAATTTTTTTTTTATCATAGAAGCATTTTGAAGTCATACCATCTCTATTTGAAAGAAGAACCACTAATCCATTCAAACAGATGTCCGTCACTTCTTTAATGTTTGATGCACAACTAAAATAATCAAAATGTTTTTTATCATATCAAAACAATCTGAACTCATAAATATAAATACAACATTCAAAATTGATTTCAAATTACCCTAAATACAAAGTACACACCGTCCTATAGCTTGAATCGTTGCAGCAACAAATTCCTTATCATTGCTTGATATATAAGTTTGAAACTCTCGAAGAATCACTGATATACTTGTTTCAGTGGCTAAATTTGTCAATATTTCCAATTTTAACAGTTTAATGTGAGTAGGATCACTTGTTCTTACAAAAAAGCTCTTCAAGAATGGCTCAAACATTCCCTAGAAAAAACAAAAGTCATCTTATGAAACCAACCTTTTCCTGAGACATCTTATGAAACCAACATTTTCCTGTCTCCATCAGTTTCCCTCAGTTGCAATTAAAATACAAAACCTTTCTCATAGTGGATATCGATGCAATACAATTTAATACAACAGATTGCACTTCACGATGAGATCGAAGCAATCTTATGAGGGCTTTGGCAACAACGTTCACTTCTGACCTTGGGGCTAAATGATGGTACAACTGTGCCACAGCCATAACAACCTGCAAAAAATAGTCCAAATATTATTTGCAGACCATGAAACATCTGATTAAGATTTATTTTATCTGCAGCAGAATTCTAGAATAAACGTACAGATGCGTTTCGGCTCTGTAATAAAGGTTTTGTATTTCGAAGTAATAGTCGGTGGTCAGCATCAAGAGTGTATGTCTTTTTAACTTTTTCGTCCTTTTCAGTATCTTCATCTTCATCATCATCATCTTCATAAAATGGTTTATCAACTGTTTCTTCCCCAACGGTCTGAAGACAAATGATAAATAGCAAAGTAATTAAAAAAATAAATAGGTAATTGCTAATAGAAATGTATCAAATTATTGTTAACTAAAAATACAATCCTCTGTTAACTGGGAGATCATAAAACATTTTTATTTAGCCTAAAAATGTTAATGAGGTCAAGAGGTTAAACGGTTCCAAAGGCTGTAATGTCGGGATTACCAGTTGAGGACCTCATTAAACACTATTGCTGAAGTGGATAAACAAATGATCTGGACCAAGAAATTTGAAAGGGACACATTGGCCTTTCAAGGATATCCCATTCTCAACTAAATATTCTTAACTACATTGAAGGTTATTAATTTACACAGGAAGCATCCTCTTAGTAGGCCTCCACATGAAGTCTGCCACTGAATTTTTCCTCCCAGAACTAGAACATAAGCCCTCCTGGTTTCCTCATTCTAGTACCGCCTTGCATCTTCCATGGAACACTAAGTGAAGATTGTTATTGCTCCCGCATTCAGGTTCCTCAAGATTGTGACAGAAGAGCAATGTGAAAGTTGGACAATTACTACTGGTACACAGAAGAGAGGACAACAGGAAGTAGGCAAAAGGTTTGGGGATGCTCAAACAAAAATTAATCCACCTAATTTTTTTGCCTTTGGTTTATTGTGAATGGTGTCCCAGCTGGGATCAAGTTCTGACCAGTTGGAATGCCCAGAATGCTGAAGATGGGAGTTGTGTCACCATTACAGTAGGCAGGTGTCAAACCACAAGAACTTTCAGACATATTCTATTACCCTTGCAAATACATAATGATAGACATTGTTGCAGGGAATAGTCAAAACAATATAATAACTACACATCCAGAATATAGAAGATATTATTCATATACTTACATCATCATTAGGATTGACAAATTGTGTTCGTGCATAACGAGTAAGCATGTTAATAATTATTACTTGGCCCCATTCATCTACGTCAACCAAGAGGTTACAAAGCTTTCTGTAATTTTTATGAACCAAATCAATACGCTCAGGGCACACCTGAAATACAATGTAAAATAATAAAACTTCTTAAATACAACTTCTGAATTTTATAAAATAGGTGTGACACTCACCTCTTCAAATGCCATAACTGCAGAACCAACTACTAGTGTAGTTTTATCAGACAACAGTTTTTCAATTACATGCACCAATTCTTCTTTTTGGTCTTGATCTAAACTGCAAAAATTAAAAAATAAATAATCAAAGAGAAGAGCTATGGTGATCAGGATAGTTTAGCTTTTATAACAGCTTTCTCACGAAATATTTTCAGAATAAGTTACATACCTATACAACTTAGGTATAGCATGAGCTGCAGTTTTTCTTACATATGGAGACATGTCAGATGCAGAATCTTTGATTGCCAACATAACTATAGGTACAATCATTGGGACCCTTATGCTGGACAGAACACGAAGAGCACTAGCTCGAATTAGTTGATTGGGATCCTAAAAGGAAATTAAATAGTAATCAACAAAAACCTTTCAAAGAAAAAAATAACATTCTTGAATTGGAAACATTACCTTCAATGCTCTCTGAAACGTTGAAATAGAAAGGAGAGCCAGATCTTGTTGTTCCTCTGCATATCGAACAAGATACACATAAACCAATTTCTTTACTTCAATATTTTTTGAAACCACATTTTTAACTACAGCAGGAAATAAGTCAGATGCATCTCGACCTTTTGCAACCATCTGAAATAAGTTTAAATACTTAATGCAACCTTCAACAATAGAGTTTAATAGCATGCAACCTGACATTCAACAGATATTTAAAATATTTAATTTATAACTTACCCCAATGATTCTTTTCATGGCCTCAAGTTTGAGCCCATCTTTATTACTGTCCAACATTTGTTTTAAATCATCATGCCTGAAAGATATAAAAAATTATTCCAGACAGACACCGTTTAATCTTTTACCCTAAAAAATTTGTTTTTTTCAATACATTGCCTAACACTTTGTATGTTTACTTTTTATAATCTGAATGAAAAAATCCTCCAGAAGCTGGATCAGCAGCATAATCCGGTGGGTCACCACCAGAGGATGGACGATCATTGCTGTACGACCCGTTATTTGCCATTTTTAGTAGAATTCACTAATACAGTCCACTAGAGTGACACTTCAAGCTGTCAGTGGCACAAAACAAACCCTCCCCGGCTTCAAAGTAGGGAATCTGATTCAGAATGCACTTTCCATTACTACTCCGCAATTCCAATTTTTGTGATAATGTAATTAACAAAGTATACAATTTAAAGGCCCTTCCTTTCAAAAAAAAAGTTATAGGTTAGCTTAGATCCGTACAAGGTGCAGCAACGCACCACGAACACGTACAGCCCGGCCCTGGGGCAGTGGCATCTGACCGGAAGTCAAGATCATGTGTTTATGAATTAAAGAATTACAAACCATTACATTGTACTCAAATAGCTCTACATCAGGAGTAATGAGTTCTGTGTTGCTGGCGCATTTTGAAGTACTTTTCAGAATTATTTTATTTTATACTTTTATTTGGAAAATGGTTATTACAGTATATTCGCAGAAATAATAAATAACTGACTTTAGAGGGTATTTATTTTGCTCCAAAAAAGTTATGAATTTTCCTGTAACTGACAACTTTTCTTGGCTTTTCTTTGTTATTCACGAAAAAAGTAATAAGTAACAATTGAATACTCATAGTTTCCACCACGAAGTTTGTAAGAAGGACACGCAAAACCGGTGGTGGGGGGTTATGTACGCAAACCATTGCAGCTAATCGGGCTCCCGTAGCTTCAGCAACATCACACTGTTAATGAGAAAATCTTTTTCAGACATTTTCGGCATGGTGCAATAATATTTTTTACACCTTATTTTCGGCCTCCAAGCTTGTATGTCAAATCAACGCCATATATACATGTACACACTAATGTGTAGATGGAGTTAGTCCACAAACCCCTTCTATAAAGGAGGTCATGGTTGGTCAAGTACATGTACGCGGATCGCTATTGGCTGACAAAAGCCGAGAAAAAGTTCCTTCATTTACCGTGACGTAATGACGCGCGAAAACTGAGATAAACTAAAATCTGTCTAAACCGGAATAAGTCTTGGAAAAATCTTCGGCTCATGAAGTTGAATGGTATTTTACTCATCATGAAACGGCACCTGTCCATCGCGGAAATGGAATGGTTTTTCAGTACCTATAGGGGAAAACCTTTATAAAACGGAATCCCCATTACTATAATGCAGTTGGCTAAGAGACACGAGATATTCTTAGTGAAATAAAGGAACTGCAAATCTGTTTTAAATTCGGTACCCCTGTGGCACGATTCAGCCGTGGCAAGCGCACAGTGAAGGAGAAGCCTCGATTTTGTTTCACTGATGCGATATTTTCGTTTCCAGGACGTTGTATTTCCTACGTTCACCATAATTCATGATTCATGTTTATTATAATCGAATCCTCTTATACTTATTTGTGATGTAAGTGAAACGGGTCCAGTGATAAGTTCATTATATCCGAGGGTTTACTGTAACCGGTGTGTTTTTTACTTACTGTAACCGGTGTTTTCACAATGTGTGTGCTATAGTTGACTAGGGCAAAAGTGGACAGAAGAGACAAATCTTTTTTGTATTCCCTACAGAAATCAGGAAAGTAAAATTATAGCACCCTCAGAACAAAGAGGAGAAATGTGGATTTCTGCGTCGAGAATAGTTCGATGGTTATTTCAAGTCAATAGGTCAACATTTACGGGTATTACCCTCGCACGATTTCTTGAGCTCTCGCTTCGCTAGATGCGAGAGGAGTGGGGAGTTTGGTTATTTTGACAAATGGAATTTTACGTCCAATTTGTAGTTCATTTTTTCATGCAAAATAGTTTTTAATACACGGAAGCGAACATTCCTCGTCACCAGATTTTGTCTACAACACTCATTGGTATCGTTTATTGTTAATGCAACTGATGTTGGGAAGGAAGTGGGAGTAGATATTCCGTGGCCCAAGAAAACTTACGGATATAATACCACCGTCTTCGTAATTTGCCGTTCAAGCGTCTAGACATTACCTATTTTCCTCTCACTCTCAGATGTTTCACCTGCAAACGTACGTAGACTTTCCACACTTTTGCAATAATATAAACACAATAAAAAGACTAGCTTTCAGTCTTTTACAGTAAATAAATTGTCATTTACATGCACGCATAAGTTGTCACTTACATACCTGAACGTGTTGAACAAACAGCGTCTTAATATGTATGTGTCACTAATATTTTGTGGATCTTCAAGGCTTTATTTGTGTAAACGTTAAGCCAAAATATTACATGGTTCACTAAATCAACTTCTGTCACCAAAGTTATCAAGTCACATGTGCTAATTATATTGCTACAAATAGTCACAAATGTTTATTAAATCGTGGCAAGCAAAATCTGCTGAAAATGTAACGTTTGATTATAAAAAGTTATAATTTTTAAATTTTTTAATCGAAACCTGCACTGATAGTAAATGTTCTTTAAAAAGTTAATTAAGGTACTTCCATCTCTCAAAATATTACGAACATTTTTGGGACTATCTGGATAAACTTTCTGGATTGCCCTCCTAAGATTATTAAAGTTTAATGTAGGTAATATTTCTATCAATGATAATTATTAATACAATTTTCTCAAATCATTTTTAAAAAGATGAAAATTTATTTTAAAAAATACGGAGGGAGTCTCTTTCACTTGAAAAATACAGGGTCCGAAACTCTTTAAATTAATACATTTCTTATCCGGTGAAAAGCGGATCCAAATCTTTCTTTCATTTCATTTTATTATGAAGTGGAACCTTAGCATCATCGCTAACGGAATAATCAACTCTCTGATTATCCCAAAAGCGAAATGAAAAGCAGTAGTGACTTGATATGCCAGATAGAATTGTGCTCTTTTAAATCAGATTTGTGAATGAGGTGCGCAGTCAGAACCTAAACAAACTGAAAGAAAGCAAATATCATTAATAACAAACGTGACATGAAACCCAAATCTCTGCAACCGCGTAAAGCCCCACCCCAAATTGTTTTATAAGGTTCTCTCGTTAGCCGCGTGATGTCGCTGAGGGTAAGCGTGTCCGATACGCTGCCGGCCGACCGCCGGTCTCCCATTACAGTACCCCCTCCACTGGAGTCTCCTACTTATAGACTTCGTAGTTTCCACAGCAAGTCGACGGAAGTAGATAGCGCTTCAGTCGCCCTTCTGCAGGGAAATCAGGGAAACGCATGGGTTTCTTTCTTCATGGCTAGTGGTGTATACTAGACGCTGGAATCATGAAGGTGAGATCTTGTTTGATATGAAGGTGATCTTAATGTGAAAACATTGGCATTTTGAACACAATATTTTTCTCTATTGTGTTTGTGCAAATTTCTTTCGTAGGATTGTCTCTTGACGGCGATGAATGTTGATACGATGTGACACGTCTGAGGCGTCACGGCGTGATCGTATTCTGAACCCAATGAACCTTTTATGTTTTAGCTTAACGTATCCTACCCGGCGACAGGATGCCAGAAATTATTCGAGATTTCGGATGAACATAAACTTCGTATGTTTTATGAGAAACGTATGGGAGCAGAAGTTGAAGCTGACGGATTGGGCGACGAATGGAAAGGTTACGTTGTACGCATTTCGGGAGGAAATGATAAACAAGGATTTCCCATGAAACAAGGTGTCCTCACCAACGGTAAGCAAATAATTTTACCCTAACGGAAATTGGTATATTAATCATTGCATATATTTCACAGCTCCAATGCACGCTGTCTTCGGCTAGTGTGTTCTGATGAGCCTGTGTATATGAATTTGAGTAACTTACCACACATCACTTATTAAGAGTGATGTGGCATTTAAACTCAGACAGCCATAATATGTATTATTAATGATCTTTAAGTTTGGTTAAAATGTTATTAAGAGGTATGATTTGCAGGACGTGTTCGTTTGCTATTGTCCAAGGGCCATTCCTGCTACAGACCTCGTCGTGATGGAGAGAGGAAACGCAAGTCTGTGAGGGGTTGCATTGTTGATTCCAACTTGAGTGTTTTGGCCTTAGTGATAACTAAAAAAGGAGAACAGGTAAATTAATAAACCTTATTTCTGACACCACAGTTTTATTTGTCTCATTGAATTATTTGTCAATGTAGATTTTTCACACTGTGGAGAGTAAAGCTGGAGGCTTACCTCATTACACATCTTTGTGTAATGAAATTATTGCTAGCTACAAAACTTTGATTTCTTAGACTTTTGTACTTAGTAGATCTATTGTGTAAATTTTTTAATGCTAAACCAACAGGAAATTCCCGGTTTGACTGACAACTCCATCCCCAGACGCTTGGGACCTAAGAGAGCCTCCAAGATCAGAAAACTTTTCAATCTTACCAAGGAAGATGATGTAAGACAGTATGTTATCAAACGTACATTGCCAGGGAAGGATGGAAAGAAACGCCATAAGGCACCAAAGATCCAGAGATTGATTACTCCTGTGACTCTGCAGGTGAGATTTTTAATTCAATAACGAATTGTTACAAAAAACTACTTGCATTTAATATCCACAGCCAGGCAGTGTTCAAATGAGTTATCATTTGAAGACGTTCGTGTGTGTGGTATAGTGATGCCTAGTTGATTTGGGAAAATTGTTTTTACATTATTCCTAATGGACTAGGGTACAGCACTCATAATATGAATTGGACTTAGAATAACTACTTTATGCATAAATTGGTAATCAGCTTTTACTGTTAAGATTTTGATTTAACAATTATGAGCTAGATAATTGTTCTAAGTGGGGTGCTAATTTTGTGAGAGGATCTAACTAACCTGTTAACAAATATTTCAGTCAAAAATAACTTCAGATAGGGTGGGTGTTAAAAAAATTGACAAACTCAATATAGCATGTGAAAGAATCATTTTGCCCTGTGCAATATAGTGTTGAGGTCTTCTCATTCAGCATTATTCAATGTTAATTAATAAGATTATCAAAGCCCACCCACTAACTCCCACATTGGAGAGTTCACAAAGCACGATAGGCCAGATTTTCTTAACTAAATACTTAAAGCTCCCATAATTAAGAGGTTAACTACCACAATCAGGCAGTGTTCAAATGTTTTATCATTTGAGGACGTTCATGTTTGTGGAATAGCAAATCCTAGGTGATTTGGGAAAGTTGTCCTACAATTATTCCTAATGTACTAGGATACAGAAATTGCTATAATTACATGATTAAACCATTTTGTTGATTCCCCAAAAATGTTATGCAATACAATAAAGCCTGTCTAAGACAGAAACTTGTCATCCCAGACACAGAAATATGTTTAACACTGGAACATAATGGTTTTTACATAACGTAAAGTGGTTATTACCTGCCTAAGACTGAGGCTTATTTTTTAATTTCGGACACTTTGGAATGGTATAGTGAAAAGAATCATGTCCTGAAACAGAGGAGTGAAGAATGACTTTACCTCTTATACCTACTGTCAGGTTATCTTTGGTGAACTTTCACCATTGTCAGATTTTAAATTTCACAACTTCATCGCTGTTGCCCCCATCTTTAATGTTGGTCATCTGCTCCTCGTTCAGACTAAAACCTGTCAATGGAAAAATATTTGAAAGAACAGTCAGGTTCATTCTTAAACAGGTTTTACTGAACTTGAATTTGCCCTCTAGCAAGTAATATATATCAAAAAGTTGACAGAAAAAAATTGGCCAGTGCAGATTTCTTAAAAATATAAATTTCATATAGTCGTTCGGTTACTTCTGAGGTGTTAGTAATGTAATGCGTAAAATTGACAATGTATTAAATAATTTGTTAAATACTGAATTTATTTTCATGGTGAATTTTGATTCTTTCTTTGATGAGAAATATCTGAAGTACTTAGTTCATGTTAATCCTTACAGCGCAAGAGACACCGTTTGGCATTGAAGAAACGATATGCTCAAAGGCGTAAGGAACAGGCTGCAGAGTATGCAAAACTGCTTGCCCAGCGCCAGAAGGAAGCTAAGGTTCGCCGTCAAGAAGAGATCAAGAGACGCCGTTCTGCATCTCTCCGTGATTCTAAATCGAGTGCTGGTGGGCAAAAGTAAATTGTATAATAAACCAGATAATAAAATGTTTTGGTAGCACCGTGTTTTGTTACACACTATTTCTTTATTCCTCATATTGCCTTGGTATTCAGATAATTACACTAATTTTGTGATATACTAATTGACACAAACAATTCGTAGGAGAGTTCAGAGAGTGCTTGAGTGCAAATTTACTGTATTTGGTTTTGCCTTTATAGAATTTTAATATCAAGTGTCCCAGAAGTATAGTTTCCACTTCTATAATTCCTCCTTTTGTATTTAGTTAAAATTTCATTCAAAACTTTCGGGATTATAGGCCAAATGCAATTTAATTAAGCTTGCTTCAAATGAAAATTATTTCATTTCTTCAGTGCCACAATTTTTGGTATTCCAGTTCTTAATTTGAGGATCTGAGCAGGCAAGAACGGCATTCTTTCTGTACAAATTGCAATCCACTATAGGGCAAATACTGTTGAAAGTACATTTTGCTGCTTGATAATTTGATATAATTTATCGTAAGCGTAGTAATCCCTTATGGCACCTAGACACTAGTGATGTGTTGTAGAGGAACACAAATGTGATATGGCAAGAGCGCTTTGGCATTTCCGCATATAATACAGTTCATCTATGAAGCATGTCAAAACAAGTCTGGCCTTACTGGTCAGAAATCCCCTTCCTATTGGCATGTCGCCTTGATGAAAATTCCTAATGTGATCTAAGCTTGCAAGTATTAGAATTTTTTTTCTTGTCATTTTAACACAAATTACATGTTGCCAGTTCAGTAATGAACTAGACCTTAGTCTTATTGTTACTCCTTGTCTCGATGGGTTAATGCTAAATGCTCTAGTTTTCACACCTAAGAAAATTTCGTTTTTTATAATGCTACTGCATTCAGAATTCAACATATAATGGGTTAGAGTAGGGACACCAGAATTTACAAAACAAACATTTAATTCTCCCCGTAATGTCACTGTTTTCTGTTTAAGATGTTACATAAAAAATACAAATAAAACCAAGCCTCAATGGTAGCATGTTAATCGACTAAGAGACTAATTCAACAGAATTTCACATTTCATTATTTTGTATTGAATTTTCAAAAAGTAACCCATTTCAACGAACCTGAAACCTTAAAGCATCCTTTACACTGTCTAAATTTAATTTAAAAAAATGTGCAGTTTTTGAGAAAAAATAGCTTCAAGTAAATAAAAATTGTTTGACAATTTTGCAAAAACTGTTTCTTTTTGAAAAATTGAGCATGACATTACTTGAAAAGATTTCTTCAAGAACACATTCCATTAAGAACAAAAATCAATCAATTATAGCAAAACTGATAAAAATTTGAATTTTCTTTTCAATTTTGAAAAATTCTTAATCAAGACCTACACCATTCTCTTGAGTGTCCTTAAGACTATCCTACAGAATTTAATTTAAAAACGTTTGAGCTGTTAAAAAAAAAGGTTAAACAAAGTTTAAAATTGCCTATATTTTAGGCAAAAGTATGCGAAAACTATACAAATTTTCGAAAATCAATTTCAACGAAAATGAGACGTCATTCTCGTAAGGTTGTATCTACGCTGAAGTACCCCCAAAGAAGTGTAACTGAAAGCAAAATCTCCGTTTTTAAGATAAGTTAAAGAAGTTTTATGATGACTTTTTTCTTTTATTCAATTCGTAGTAATTTCGCTTAGTCAATCAAATGTTATTGAATGTATCTTACCTCACCGGGCATTCTGAGGAGAGTTTTATTTAAAAAAGGGGGGGTTGCGAAATTCATCGCAACCGGAAGTACTGGCTTTTGGCCTAGGAGTTATGCTGTTGTCAGCACTTTTTCATGTGTTACGAGATAAAACCACCCTATCTTAATAATTTTGTATCACACACAACCACTAACTATTTGACCTTCAATGTAAACGATCACTTTCAACACGCATTGTTTGCGCGGTTTATGAAAACCTTTTTCCTGCACGGATGAAACCCATGCACCGCGAAACATTACATGTAATTCATAATTAGGTTCTGTCTACTACCGGTTCATCATTGCTTCAATGGTGTAAATTCTTGCTTTCTCGATCTTTCTCCTAGCACTTCTTCTGAAGCCTTTGTTGGAGATAAAAACTTTTTATAAACTAAAATTGTCTAAAACGAAGGTGTCTTTTGCTAATGCTTACACAAGCCTCGATGGAGAGTATTTCGAGACGCGTCAAAATCATAAAATAGTTTCATGGTCATTTCCAGTGACATTTGTGCCAAATTCTTAATGATATTTATGCTGCAAGTTGCAGCGATAAGTCTTTGTTTCAAGTGGGTTTGAAAACATTTTCCTGTCATCTGTAGGGTGGCTTCTAGGAAGCATGGTGTCTGTGACCTCGAGTAGTTTTCCGTCACATGTAAACATTTTGCTCTTGGCTGCCCTCCCATCTTCCCTAAACATGGTGACTTCAGTCTTGTTTGTATTGACCGGCAATTCATTCTCATTCGTCTTTATAAGTAGTTGGGTCAATGACTTTCTGCAATATTCCTCTCGCTCCCAACTGCAATGGCAATGTCATCGGCGTATATAAACACATCTGTTTTGTCAGTTTTCTCAATTTACCTCACAACATTGTAGAGCATTGCTATGAACATTAACGTACTCATTGGGTCTCCTTGCGGTACTTCGGTGATTTGATCTATTAGGTCTGTGACACCTATGATGTGATGACGTTTCTCTGGAAGATGCCATTATTAGCCTCGTGATCCAGGTTTTTATGCTATATTTGTAAGTTTACTTCGCATTTTCGGCTGTTCACGTTATCAAATGCTTTTGACAAATCTATAAAGGCCACATAGTAAAGCTTCCCCTGCGTTTCCTCAAGTTGGTCATGTACTCTTTTCAGTTGGCACTCGGCTGCTATTAGAATTGATCTACTTGGCCTGAATCCAAGTTGTTCATCTGGTAGGGTCTTCTCAACTATTGACTGAAGTGTTTATGTGAGCAGTTTACTTAGTATCTTGTAGGCATTGGATTCCAGGACTATTTCTCTATATGAGTCCGGTGAGCTTGTGTCCCGTTCCTCTTGGTATAATTGCTTCAGGGTTGCTGTTCCTCATTCTTTTAGGTTACTCCCCATTTTAAGACATTAAATATATCCGTCCACACTGGCCGTAGTATTGGCATCGACTGTTTCAGATTTTCATTGCAGAGACCATCTAGGCCAACGTCTTTGTTGTTTTCATGGACTTTGTTCGTCTCACTTCCTCGAGAGTGAATGGTTCACACGGCTCCCATTCGGTTTCACTTGGCTCTGGTCTTCTTTCATCGTGAACGCCCTCGGTTTAGGAGTGGTGCTTCTGTACTGTTAGTGGGTAGTACGAGTAAAGTAGTATTCCGTCATGTGATGAAGTGTTCTTGCTGGTGTCATTTTCTTGTCGGTATGTCTCTATCATCTTGCCATTCGGTTTATAATTTAATGCCATCCGCTGTAGACGTCGTTTGTCCATTCTTTTCACATATTTTCTCCATTTCCTTTGGTAATTGGACCTTTTTTTACTTCTTAGTACTTTTGTCACGAAATTTTCCCATGTGTCTAGGGAAATTCGATGTCTCTATTCGCCTCCTTTTCTATGTATACTACTGTTTTAAGCTTGATGAGTTGTTTGTATTCCCTTTTCTTTTCACAATATTTTCGACTGTCGTTTTCCAAGGGGCGGTGCCAATAAGCACGCAATCCGCGTCTTCTGTGACTCCTTTTTTTGTTTACTGATGTACGTCGTAAACACCTGGAATATCTATAGCGGTTTCCGGCGTGACGAGCGTTTTCGTTAATGTTATGTCCGCGTCTGCCAACGGACTGATTGATATCTTTGTAGAGGCGACGTTAGTTGGTCCTTCCAAATTTCAAGGTGATTAGTTTTATATTCTGTGTCCCTTGCTTTTGTCTATGTGTTGTACGTTTATTTGGAGTCTTGGTATTGAGCTCTGTTTGCTGTATTGTTCTCTCTCGCTTGTCTCCCATATTCTACATATTTCATATTTTTATCTTATTTTCAATAAATTCTTAGGTAGGTTCCAGTGGCTTACAGAAAACTGGGTCGAAAGGGCAGTATTCTTATTCCTTCTGCCCAGAAATCACTGTTTTTACTTGATCAGAATATTCTCTCGGTATTACCAACTTGAAAGACTTGTTGCATCCTTTTACTTGGAGATCGGTGCATTCGAATTCCCCAACTATACTACTTACTTTTAAATATTCCTGCAGGTTTTGTTCGGTTCTTGAGTAGTGCAGTTTGCCGATGTATATCCATGCTTTTCTAGTTGCAGCTTGTTTCCTTTCTTTGATTCACTTATTGCCTCATTTCTTATCTCATATCCCCTATTTGTTTCCATCTTCTTTTGCCGTTTTTTACTTATTAATTCCTCCCATTCCCCGGTCGCTTGGTACTTTTCTCGCTTTTGCTGGTTCTATCTGTCTTTGTCGTATCAAGGTTCTCCTTTTGTTGAATATTAGGTATTGCCAACTAATGAAAATCTAGTGTGAGATTAAATTTATTTCAAAGCAGAAATCTACTTTTGTCCACTTTCATAGAACTCTCGTAACAAAGAGGACAAAAGTCGATTTGAAGCAAGAAATGTTTGATGGTTATTTCAAGTTCAGGATTACATGTTTCGCATATCTTCGTAATTCGCCATTCACACGTTTAAACATTTTCCTATCATTCTCAGATGTTTCGCATAGAAACATTTAGATTGTCCACGTTTGTACTTACATAAACAATCCATTATAGGACATAGCTATCAATAAATAGGTTGTCATGTCTTTATGGCACACTTCTCGAAATATAAATACCCCAGAGCAAAAGTAACTCCACTGGCCAGCTGAACAGTTAACACAGAGCTAGAATCCACAACCAGCAAACAATACGTTGTACAATATGTTGTACTGCATATGTATGTTCCACTGCATGCATGCCATGGTGTTAATTACATAAATGTAGATGTAGTTAATGTATGAATTTTGGAGTTTGTTTGGTGATAAAGTTGAAGTGAAGTCTCATTTCTTTATACATAAATGAAATCTAATGTCGAGGACTCGAAAAAGGTGGAAAAATACAGTATCCTCCGTACATATTCGTCTAGGTTGCACTTAAAAGTAATGCCTTCTTTCCAATATAAAATGAGGGCGTTTAGTCCTTTCTTGTAAAATTTTCCCGGATAGATTATCTTACTTCAAAAAGTGGTCTGGGGAAAAGAGGACTTATGCTACTTCTAAGCACATGGGCTCGATACTAATCGGTGATTTTCATAACTGATGAAAGGGCATGTGGAACCACATGTTTCATATATTTAATTTTATTATAGAGCACTTCCTTTGCATCATCGCTAAGGTCATGATAATATTTACGTCGAACCGTTTTCGAAAAGAAAAGGTAAAGACTTGACGTGTGTTGATAAAATAGGGCTTTTTTAAATTCAATTTGTCTGCGAAATTCCTAGTCAGAGCCTGAGTAAACCATAAGAAAGCAAATATCGCTGTAAATAACAAATACGACAAGACACACGCTCCTTCACAACAGCATAATACAGCCAAAAACAGTGATTCTTGGGACTGGCTTTACGCGCACATAGCAAAGATTGCCACCCAACAGTTTTCCGCCAAACGTTGTGACATCATTTGGACATCTCTATTGGGGCTCTTTTAACGTGGCGTTTTAAGGTCTCTCAGAAAAAGGTACAGAAAAGACAGGTTCCAATCAATTCCAATAGAAAGCCGTTAAAGTAGGAACTGTAGTGACGTTAAGCTCCATATTGGAGACTGCTTTCCTTCTCCCTTTTCTGTGTGTGACCTTCACGCGCCACGTTAAAAGAATTGAAGTATAGCCATCCAGCTGGTGACTGTGGACCAGAGTATTGCAGAGTATTTTCTATTTTGGTGACGGTGTGGACATCGGTGAACGTTGTCTTTGCCTTGATGTTTTAGCTGTTCGAATTACGCGCGTTACAACATTACAATGCAGAAAAAAGCCAAAAAAGCATTTTAAATTGTGATCACAATAGAATTAATTTGCATTATGATCCGTCGGATGTAATTACAAAATTATATTTTAAAATTATTGAAATTTCCACTGTATCGTGAGAAGCGATGAACTATTTGTAGTAACCTTTACACCGAAAATAAAATTATGTAATGTTAGGTCCGGTTAGGTCGGAGGACCAAGGCACACTGAAGTCCGAATTCTGAATTAAATAAGAATATGTAGTCTACCGTGTCCTGTGAATTAGCTTAGAATAGATGTGATTTTGTAGAAGTGCCTTAACGGAAGATTGACACTGCGTTCGTACAAAGTTTGCCTTGAGAGTAGTCTTCATAAGTAATACACCTTCGCGATTTTAAGAGTATATGTTGGTGATACTTCTGAAATTTTGGGAAATTGTGTAGTTTCTGTAATTTTTTGACAATTTCTTTCTACACATTTGCATAACAATGTCCCTTAAAGTTTATTTCGATTTTCTTTCTCCGCCGTCTCGCGCATTACTGATGTTTTTGAAAGCAAACAGAATTCCCTTTGAACCAAAAGAAGTAAAACTAGCTAAAGGTAATTTAAAAAAAAAAAATCTTAATTAGTTAATTTCTAATACAATTCATATTTACAGGAATGTTATTTTGCTTATTATATCACTTTCAAAATGCACAGGTGAACATTTCAATAAAGATTATGCCAACATCCACCCATTTCAGAAAGTACCAGCAATAATTGATGATCAATTCCAACTAATTGAAAGGTACTGAAACTTATGTTCTTTTTTAATTTTTATATAATGATTGCTTTATTTGGTCTTACAAGTAAGCAAAATTTTATTTAGAATTGGATTTCAGCAAGGGAACATTTTTCTACATCTTTATGTTATCTTTGTTTTTTCTTTAGCGTTGCTATATTAAGATATTTATGTCGAGAGAGAAATGTTCCGGAACACTGGTATCCTAAGGATGTTAAAGGTCAAGCAAAAGTAGATGAATATTTGGAATGGCAACATACAAATACAAGAATGTGTGGTATGCTTTTCATGTTAAAGGTAAATAACAATTTGTATTTAACTGAACATTGAATGTTAAGGCATTAAAACTACATTTTAGAATAAAAGGCCTTAAAAACTGAAATAAGTTGAGGAAAACGGCAATACAAGTTAAAATTAAAGAAAAAAAATCACTCTTATTACTGCACTTGTAACTTTTTCTAAAATTATCTGAACAACCTTTCTCTCTATAATGCCAAGGATAGGTGATAACTTTTTAAAAGTTTGTAAGAATCCATCATAACAAAGTCCCTGCGTAATAGAGAATTAATGTTACTCAATGTTACTGCTCAATAGAGAATTACTCTTCACTACTGAACCATATTGGCTAGGGCCATATCATTGTGACCACTTGACCTTTTCTGTATGCATCATTCCACAATTTTTCAGCAATATTTGTTACTGCTGGCTTGGAAGAAACTAACTTTTGAAAGGGTTTTGAGTTCTATTAATGAATTAATTTCTTCTTTTAGAAGAAAACAGAAGAGGAGGGAATATAACTTACAAACACATTGCCTTCGTAGACTTTGAAAACGCATTTGATAGTTTACAACGAGAAACTGTAGGGACAATATTAGAAAATCAAGGCCACCCGAGACTGAGGAAAGTGATGGAGAGTTTATATGCAGAAACAAAAATTGTGATAAAATATGGATTGCAAAACCACAAGAAATCATACTAAACAAAGGAGTAAGACAAGGCTGCCCAAATTTATAATTGTTTTTTTATGTATCCATTAGGGGCCGTCCATAAATTACGTAATGCAAATTTGGAGTACTTTCAATACCCCCTCTCCCCCTTATAATGCACCCATAACGTGTGCTTGAACCCATCCATAATTACATAATGCTTTCAACACAGTTTGCAACACTGTTTTTACTGCCCCTTGTAAATGCAAGAAATGAAAATAAATTATAGCACAGTAAAAACAATTTGTATTTATTTTACTTTGATTGTATAGTAGAGTAATTAATGATAATTAAAGTAGAAATTAGTTGACAATGCTGGCTCCACCTAACAATAAGATTGGGGTAAGATGTGAATAAAGGAAAAATGCTTGAGTGAGAAATGGTTGATCACAAGCTATAAACACACGTTGTGGATGATGCAAGTGTGAGAGTGTACAGCACCAATTTAAATAGATACTAGAATATACTTCATATTAGTTTTGAATATTTTCTTCCTGATATTACAAATTCAACAACAACAACAACAACAAAAATCCATTTATTGTAACAATTTACAACTAATAACTTCCATTTATTTATGTTTAAAAAATTAATTAGTTAATATTTTAATGTGTTAGTTCAGGACCCTAAAAAGGAATTATTTCAGCAAACAGTGCAATTAAAAAAAAAAAAAAATGTTCAGAAAAACGTAATGTTATGTACACTTAACTAATACTCCTCTACTTTTTTGTAACACTGCCTTAGACCTCCTAACCCCTCTTTAGCGTTATGTACTTTATGGACAACCCTTTTACATCATCCAAAACTGGAAACAAAATAACAATGCAGGTATAAAATAAACCAAAGAAATTATTTTAAATATTTTATTTAATCAAATTACGCTGTACTAGTATAAGAGACAGACGATGACAACAATCTGTACACCACTTCCATCAGATCTGTAAAATACATTGCGTTCCGATGTCTAGAGAGAAATCAAAAGTAATGGCATTTTGGGACCATAAAAGACAACAGTCCAAGATAGTCATAATAACAAAATTTTAGAACAAGTCTCTTCCTTTACTTGCTTAAGAGTGTTTATTAAATGACTGCAAGGATAGAGACCTAGAAAACAAATGTTTGAGGTTCCAAACAGTATGTGGGACTATTCACAACACCCTAAAAAATAAAGTGAGACAAGGCAAGAAACTCAAATAAAAATATACAAAACTATGGCAATTCCCATGCTTCTCTATGGGTGCCTACGAAGAGAGTGTTGGAAAGAACAGGCAAGTGAAATGAGATTTTTGCGCAAAACTGAAAGGTGTTCAAGAGAGGAAAGGTTCGTAAATGGAAACATAAGAAAAGAAAAGAATTAAAAGTAGAACCAATAAACACTAGGATGTAAGAATATAGAGGCAAATGGTTACAATATATTGGAAGAAGGGAAGATAGCATACTTCCAAAAGCAGCTTTCTACTTTGCTCTAAAAAGGAGAGACGAGGGGAAGACTGAGGAGAAGATGGAAGGAGACTCTGTGAAGACTGAGCAGGCAGCTGCCTAAACCGTGGAGTATAGGAGAAGAAGAAAAATAATTTCTTGTTTTTCCTTTGGACACAGGCACTGTGGCCATGTCATCTCTAGACATTGACAAAATGATTCAGTAAAGATAAAGTTATAAAAATATATAATTTACTACAAGTACAAAAATAAAAAAAAAAGAATAAAAAGCAACTCTTTTTACAAAAACTCCACAAGAAAAGTATGCAAATTTTCACTCTTATAACCAATGTGGCCTCCCAAAGGTCCAATGTTGCCAGATACTCATGGAAGAGTTGCTGATGAAAAACAAAGAAACCTTTTTTTTAAAGATCTATGAAATTTTGCTGGTGGTCACAATAATATGGCCAGGGACAATACACAATTTCCAAGTTCAGGTTCTGTTTTCAGACCATGAAACCAAATTTTCCAAATTACATTGAAGAGCCAGATAGTTATTTCATGATTTCATTTCCAAAAATTGCTTCAAATCATCATCATAATACATAAAAAATGATTAATTTGGAAATACTTATTTCAGATTATTAACAAAACTGGTAAATAATAAAGGGCCAAGGTGTACCTCCCTTAGGAATGCCGTTGCTAACCTTTATATTCATAGTTAAAAAACATTTATTAGTAATAGTGTAAGCTCTTGTTATTCAAATAGTTTTCAAGCCAGGTATTCCAAAATTAAGCCCTATTCAATTTCTTCAACATAAAACGTTTCAAAAGCTTTTGAGAAATCAATGTAAATTATACCAACCAGTGAATTTAATAAATTTTTAAGTAAATTAATTTAAATGTTAATAATTTGGTAATTATTGATGAGTGGTATCAAAAAACCGTGTTCCTGATTAATAAGTAGTCTATTCAAAATTAGTGTTAATTTGTCACTTATTAATGACCTGAATAACTTTAGTATAATGCACCATTTAGAAATATTGTTAGTTCAGGGTGATTGATTTCTGGAAAAACTGGGATATTGAAATTCTGAAATTATAAAGGAAAATGGAGGGAAGTGGCTGATCAAATTCAAAAATGTGCATTTGACTTAAGTCATATTTCAAAATATTTTTATTATTAGTTACCACTACTTCCTTAATTAAATGTAATGTGGTAATTATCAGTCATTTTTTTATTAACACCACCACTCATCTTATAAAATCCATTAAGTTTTAAACATTTAAAATCAATTGTTGACTCTTTATTATTCAAAGATCTAACATCCTTAGGAAAATTTTTCAATAACGTATTATAAGAAAACACTATTTTTAAACTGAATCATTGTTATTATAAAATTTGAAGCTTACAATCATTTAAAATTTAACTAAACAAATATTTCTTTGTTGTGTAGAAGAATTGGAAAATTCTTATTTTGGAACAGAATCATTGTTTAAAACTTCTTTATTCATTTCATTTTGAAGCCCCTTTAATAATTGTACTCAATTGTATAGATGTTTAAAGGAAGAGACATGAGGTGTATGTAGAGAAAACAGATTGAGGCAATCACTGGACACTGTAGTTTTGTTTGTTGGTTCATTATCCTTATGAATGGCAGCTTCATTTCCTTATCAGTGGAGAGGAACCTTCATTCAGTAATTTGGTATACATGTAAAATATTGTTGTTTTAATCAAGAAATTTTGTCCTTTTTGTTTTAGTGGGTGTACCCATCAACAACTGGAAAAGCACCTAAAGCAAAAGAAGTTGCACACTGGGAAAAATTAATGAATGAGGCTTTGGATAAAATCGAATATATTTGGCTTAAAGACAAACCTTACTTAACAGGCGATAGAATCAGCATAGCTGATTTACTGGGTGTTACTGAACTTGAACAAACAAGTATGTATGGTGATTTTTACAAATACTTCATTGTGGTTATATAACATATGTAATTATCTGTTCTTACTTTTTCAGATCTTCTTCTTCAGTAAATTTCATTTTATAAAGGGAAATTTTGATGTAATTTTTCTCACTAAAAAAAAAGGAAATTTCAAAATTTTGAAGTATCAAAGCATGTTTCAAAATTAAATAAATGAAACTCGTTCCAAACATTTTTACTCATCATCACTCTTTCTTTTGTTGTTGTTGTTGTTGTTGTTGTTGTTGTTATTATTGTTGTTGTTGTTGTTGTTGTTGTTGTTGTTGTGTGTGTGTTTTGTTTATGTTTGTTTGTTTGTAATCTTTGTATTTGTATGCATATGTGAGTCATAAAACAGATAATTTTCAATTATTTTCTCATATAGCAACAAATAATTGTAATTTGTGAGTTTCAAAGTAATTAAGGGGTTAAAAGTAGTTAGATAAGTATTAACAAGAGTTATAATTGGGGGGATTTTATTAAACTAAAATATTGGCAAAAAGTGATCAATAAAATGCTCTTAAAATGTTTTAAAATTCCCTAAAAGCAAAGAAAAATGACTTTAAAAAATTGATCAAAACTAGTCCAGATGAACAACACAAGCTCTTGGTTTTAAATTACTGACGTAATTGAGGATTCTTCTTCTTTTGCGTGAGCTAGTGTCTGAAATGAACTAAACTTCTGGTTTGGACTGTTCTTTACCAGGAAATTTCAATCTTAGAAATCAGCTGAATTGACAATGGTGCTGACTCACAGGAACCTGAAATTACATATGGCTGATATTACTAGTTCTGGGCAAAGAAAGCGAATAGGCTACTCAGGAATTCTGTGGAGAACATTTGTTTCATCTCTTAAATATTATTTGAAGCAAGTGCTAAAAAAATGAGAAATACAAGGAGAATTACCCTGAGAGAGAACAAATCTCCCTGATGCTTTCCGGCTTTCAATTTAATTTCTTTATAATTTCCTGATTTATTTTCCATCAGACCAATCAAAAAAATAGGAAGTGAAAGAAATGTTTCAAAGTTTGCATGACATTATTATTATTATTATTATTATTATTATTATTATTATTATTATTATTATTATTATTATTAGCTGAACCTATGCACAAATTTAGTGCACTTAGAGGATACTGAAATACTGTAATTACTAAACCTATATTCAATTCTTAAATGGTAACAAAGTTTTAAATAAAGTATTTTGAGAAGGATCACCTTTAACACAATAATTGATTTTTACTTCCTCGTATACATATGTCTGTATATAAAATGTTTTCTCATGAGGGAAAATGTCTGGTTTTCAAATGTCACTAGACCTCACTTTGATGGTACTTTTATTCATCATTTAACTATTTAAATTTATTGTTGAAAGGTGGAGAAGATATTTATGAGATCAAGAAAATGTGCCCAGATTGTAATTTTTCCTCCACATGCCACTTCCAGATTTGTTCTTTGACAAAATAAATCATAAGGAGTCAAAGTATTCATAGTGTATTCTAGTTTATGAAATTTCTGTTCTAGGAATTGTTGGTTACAATCCTTACAGTAATCGAGCAGCCCTCACTGCTTGGTTGGAGAGGATTAAGGGAGACACCAATCCTTATTTTGGAGAAGTTCATGGCAAATTACATCACTTGGTAGACAAATACAAAGGCGTCCCTCCTGCAAGGTCCTTTTCCACTATTATCAAGATGACAATGTTCAGATTTTTTAAGAAGTAGAAATATTTTATAAGCAATGTAAATAATTAGATTTTTTTGTAATAAAGTGACTTTTTGCCCATTTGTCCTGAGACTGAATTGTGCATATTCAAGATCATGTCAAGAATCACAATTATACAAAAACAGTGATATTTCATTTTTATTACATCCAAAAAATGCATTAAATAAAAGTAATCTGTGAAGGAATATGAATGTACATAAAAAATTAACAAGTAGTATTAAATTATTAATAATATTAAACTAATGGAAGCACACATTCTTTGGAAATATTATTGAAATATTTATATAAATAAACAAATGTTTATATTTGAAAAATTTAATGAAAATTTGGCTCTTATCCCTTATTGCACCCAGCAAGAACAAACTACCCATCCTTAGAAAACAGAACTATGAACATACTGTTTTAGAGAAGCTTTTCATACACTGTGGGCAAAATCAATATTGTGGATTCATTAACATTGTGCACTTTTGAATTCAATAAAACTTTTCATTTTGGTTTCAATAAAAAATCAAATTATTTGCATAGAAAACAAAGAAAAGGTGGATTTATATTATTACTGTAAATAGTAATAATAATGGAAATTCTGAATTCAGATTTAGGTATTGGGACAGATTTTAACTGTGGATAAATTGAAACAAAATGTTGAAGGCTTTTGATGAAAAACTTTCATTAACGTGATGAGGTATCATATACAAAGAAATTGCTTACAATCAACCCTCCTAATAAACTTCTGAGCGTGCATGAAAATTGTGAAAAAATGTAATCCTCTCTGAGAAAAGTAAATTTAGATAGTATTGTTGAACAATGTGTTCAAATGCAAGAAATACTGAATTAGCAATAAGCTTCTCCAAATTTTGGCTTTTTGTATTATCACACGGCAAAACTGCAATATTTCAAAATCACCAAGAAGTTGTGGCCATCAAATACAGGATAATCTATATAATATGACTGGCTTTACCATCTTAAAAGATCCGTGACCTCTTAAAAGAGGGAATACTTTTACATAAATCTTACAGGAAAATCAATTCATTTCATGACAAAATGGCCATTAATGGAAGTGACTGCTTATTCGGGCTGACCATTTCAGCAGGCATTTCTTCTTCTCCTTCTTCTTACTTTTATTTTAGGCTAGAGCCTGTTTCTTTACAAAGGATACTTCATTAAAAATTTTAAAAAAACTTATACATTACATTTATGTAGTCATATTTGTTAATTGGCACTATATTCATGCTTCCTTGTTTCACAAAATGTCTTTCCATCTAGTTCTTGGACGTCCTACACTTCTCCTTCCTTCCGGTCTTCTATCTCTAGTCACTTTCACCAGTTTGTCTTCTTCCATTCTGTCTATGTGTTCGTTCCATGTCTTTCTTCTTTCTCGAACCCAGTCTGAGATTATAACTATTTGGCAAGTTTGTCTTATATTAATATGAGGTTCTTTATCCATTATCGTTTTATTTGTAATTTTTCTCAGCACCCGCATTTCCGACACTTCCATCATTTGGCATTTTTTTTTGAGTCTGCTCTCGTTTCAGCTGTATATGACAATACTGGTCTAATTACTGCCTTACATATTCTAATTTTAGTGTCTTTTCTTAGGTATTGATTTTGCCATATTGAGTGGTTGAGACAGCCTGCTATTCTATTTGCTTTAATGCTTTGTTCATTAGCCTCTTTTATAGATCTGCCATCTCTAGTTATTGTTATGCCTAGTTACTGTATTTCCATCACTTGCTCTATTAGGTATTCGTTTATAGCTAGTTTGCATCTCAATGGCTCTTTCGAGATTGTTATGCATTTAGTTTTTTGTGTGGATATCCTCATGTTGAATGAGTGGCGTGTCTTGTAGAATTCAAATAGGAGGCGTTGTAAATCATCTTCGCTTTCGGCAATTAAGACTGTATCATCTGCATAACAAATTGAGTTTATGTTATAAGAGCCGAAGTAATATCCTTTTTTGTTCGAATTATTGTTTAGGATGTGTTTCATTACCAGGTTGAAGAGTATTGGGCTGAGGGAGTCTCCTTGTCTTATTCCTTGACCTGTTGTTATGGTTTGGGATATTTGTTTGTTATGTTTTATTTTCATTCTGGTGTTCATATTTAAATTTTCTGTCTTTAATAATCTTGCTATATCTACAAGGGTACGCTGTCAAATGCTTTCTGTATGTCTATGAAACACATATATGCAGGTTTGTCGAATTCCAGGGATTTCTCAACAATTTGTCGTATAATGCAGATCGCGTCATTACATGATCTTCCTCTTCTGAATTATTGCTGTTCTTCTTTCCATTCTATCAAGTTTTCTATTACTTGTGTGATAGTTTTTGTTGTTAGTTTAAGCGTTGTGTTCAGAAGGTTAATTCCTCTATAATTGTTTGGGTCTAGCCTGTCCCCTTTTTTAAACAAGGGGATTAGAACGCTCGTTTTCCATTCCTCTGGTATTTTACTCTGCCTATATATGTTTTGTAATAGTTTTACTAATTCTTTATGTAATGATTGCCCCCGTATTTTAATAGTTTGTTATATATGCCATCCTATGCGGGTGATTTCCTATTTTTTAATTTGGGTATCGTTTGTATAATCTGTTCTTCTGAGATCTCATAGTCTTGTGTTAGTGTGTCGGCTATATATACTGGAGCCTCGTTATTGTGAAATAGCTAACTAAAATATTCCACCCATTCTGTGTTATTGATTTTTGTTGTGCTTATCAACTCATTTGTTTCAGAGCATGTATTTCTTATGAAACGCCATGTCTGTTTTTGCAGGCCGTAAAAGTCGTGTTCCATTCTTGCAGTCAATGATTCCCAATAATTTTGTTTTATTTTCCTGAACTTTATATTTACTTGATTTCTTATAACTTTGTATTCTTCATAGTCTTGTGATAATTTAGTCTGTATTTGAGAAATGCTTGGAGTTTCTCCCTAGTTATTTCTTTAACCTCTTCTGTATACCATGGTATATTCCGCCTTTGTTTCTGTTGACTTTTCTGTTAATTTTTCTTAATGCTTCCTCCGCTGACTTGAGTATATTAGTTTTTATTTTCTCCCAGGCTGTCTCAATATCATCTTCTCCAATTCTGTTGTAATTGATTCTTTTGTCTAAGCGATCTCTATAAAGTTTTTGTGTTGACCCATCTTGAAGGGATTGGATATTAATTTTTGATATTGTATCCCTGGGTATTGTTTTTTCCCGTTTAAGTGTCATTCTTAATTTGGCTAGCACCATATTATGGTCACTTCCAATATCTGTGCTTGTTACGCTTCTTATATCTAAGATGTTTGATGGGTGACACATTCTATTCGTTATCACATAATCTATTATGGTTCGGTGTCCCCTATTATTTTCCCATGTGTATTTATGTTGATCCTTGTGATCGAAGAAGGTATTATGTGTTCTTAATTCATTATCCAAGCAGTAGTCGATGAGCAGTTCTCCATTTTCATTTAGGTGCGTTTCGTTGAATCTGTTTTTTATGCCAGGGATAACATCATTTCCATTCTTGCGTTAAAGTCACCTGCTATTACAGTTGTCTCCTCTGGATTTGTCTGGTGTATAACTTCTTGTAGGTTCTCGTAGAACATTTGTCTTTCGTGTGTAGGCTTGTTTCGGAGTCATAGACTTGAGATTGTGTGGATTGATTTTGTTTTAGATCTTAATTTCATTGTAACAATTCTTTCTGATATGTACTTGGAGTCTATTATCTTATCGAGATGTTTATTGTTTATTATGATTGCTGCTCTTTCCTTTGCTCTTGAGAATTTTTGTACTCCACTATAGATAAGTGTGTAATTGTTTAATTGTGTTATGCCTCTACCTTTTTTTTTTCGTTTCTGAAAGGCAGCATAGATTTACGTTGTGTCTATATAATTCCATTAGAATTTCATGATATCTTCTGTTCCATGATCTAATATTCCATGTTCCTAGTCTCAGTATGTTTCCTTTTTTCCATTTCGATGTCCTTGTTCATGCCATGTTCGTCTTATTAATCGTATTCCGAGACTTATCCTTTATTCTATGAGCATTTCTATCCTTTTTACCCTGGGCAGGTCGCTGGCTTCACCCGGGAACCCTCCTCCTTTATCTGGGCTTGGGACCGGCAAGCATTGCTGAGTGGGTGCTAACCGCAGGCGGAGATTGCTGGGTGGCAGGTTTTTTTGTATATAATACCTCATCAATTTAGTGAAGGTTTTTCATCAAAAGCCTTCAACATTTTGTTAACGTTTATATTTGTCCCAATACCTAAATCTGAATTCAGAATTTCCACATCCTTTGGCAAGTCACTTTCAAGCTTCTTTTTCACTTAACACAACTGACTTTTTCACAGGAATAGACACAAGTGTCTTGTAGAGACTTGAGATCGTTTCATGATGAACGTAGGTGTGAAAGGACATTTTCTATTTCAACATGTATAGTGAAGTGTCAACTGAGCCACAAAAGTTTTAGCATTCCATTGCTTGGCAACATATATTGTAGGATAAATAATTTTTGTCAGAGGTGGAATTTCGAATCTTTTATTGGGTGGGGGGGGGGGCAAATTTGTGCACTATTATAAATATGAAATTATTCATTTATATTAATGCTTTAATTTCATTGTGCTGCAATAATATGTATTTTTTTCCTCAAATAGATCATTGCATGCTTAGTGAAGGTTTCAATTTTAGAAGATGCCATTTCATTTTTTCTGTGAAGTGGCTTGCTTTCCTCATGTGAAGTATGATAAGGAGTAAGAGCTAAAACAATTGCTGGAGAAAAAAATTATTTTCTTCTTTTATTAATCAAAATTTTACCACAATGACTTGGGAACGAATAGGCAGAAGTTTTTGTCTTGATTTAGAGGTTGAAAATTAATTGTTTCATAAAACAGTGGTCCTTTTAGATTTATTATTAGATTTGAAAATTTATTATTTTTTCCAAAATATTCATGAAAATGGTTTTCAATATTAAAAATATGTATAGTGCATTGAACAGTATTATTTTTTCAAGATCTATTTGGATTACAGTATAAAAATTGAAGAAATTTGCTAGCAAAATTGTTGATTGTAACTAAATCTTTTAGTATCTAATTAAATTAAAATCATAATTATTTATCAAAACAATACTATTAAAACTTTTTTCAGGACTGATGCTTAACTATTGAATGCTGACCAATTTTTATTTCACTTGGTGATTCTACGATGAAGACTGAGATGCCATGTTACGAAGATTTAAACTATAAGTACTGATACCAATTAAACTTTTAAGATTGAATATAATATTGAAGTGAAGGTAAAAATTGTTCAGACGGTTGAATTTGCTTAAATTATTATCTGTAAAATCTATAATTGATTGTTGATATGTATATTTTTAAGACATTTACTGATATAATTATGATTGAATGTAATATAATGAAATACAACATAGTGGAAACTTCATAATTTTTAATAATAAAACACCAAAAGTTTTATTTGGTTTTTCTGCTTTATGATTGTCAATATTTAAGTTTGTTGAATTGCTATTTTATGAATGATGATGATTAAGGTTTAAGGACGCTTAAACAGCTAAGGTCATTGGCACATATGTCAAATTTTTATTTTTATTTTTATTTTCAGAGCAATACACAGTGCCAGACTGCGAGGTAAAAGGTACATAAAACTGAATATAAACATGTTCAATTATTTAAAAGGGTTGGCTGAAAAGAGCGAGATAAACACTTTAAAATCTCAAATTTCAACCAAATAATTGGCATAATCCTCTTCTCTCAGATAATGCTGTAAATGTCAGTCTCTTGTAAGATGCTATAAGCTTGCAGAGAGAAGATTCGTAATTTCCAAGTATCTGTGCTGGAGAGCTAGCAAGGCGAAGCCTTCGCCGGCTATCTCTTACCTTAGAACAGTGCAGGAGAACATGCTCCATGGAAAGATCCGTATCGCATCTATCGCAAGTAGGGATGGGTCACCGCGGAGATGTCCGTGTGAGAAATGACAGTGACCAATCCGAAGGCGTGTCAGAATTATCTCGTCGCGTCTTGACCCACGATATGAAGAGGACCAAGGCTTAACGGAATTCTTGATTCTCGTGAGTTAAAAGTCTGTGTTCTGCCACTCTATTTGCCATGCGCTGTGAATACTTTTGATAAACAGCTTAGTATCGTTTGTTGGGATTGTGAGGATGTCTACCTCAGTTTTCTTTGTGGGGAGCTTTGCTGCCTGGTCAGCAAATTCGTTCCCTATTATCCCAACGTGACCTGGCGGATCCAACAAAAAACTCAATTATAACGACGAAACAGTAAATTATGGATTAGATATTGGATGATTATTGTCAGAGAGTCACAAGGAGAGAAACAGGAGATAGATTCGAGCAAGCTTTTTGAATCACTGCAGATCACAGCTTCTTTTAATGTCATCGATTCAGCGAACTTAAGTGCCTCCAAGAACGCATATTTTTCTGCTGTATAAGCGCTGCACGAAGAGTAGTCAAAGACTCCGCATGGGACTGTGGCAGTAGAATGCACACCGTACATTACCATTCTGGGAGGAACCATCGGTGTATATGAAGGTATAGCCGGGATACATGGATTTCGTCTCCTGAAATTCCTGGGGGGAATTTAGAATTTGGGGAAGTGTGATAATCTCAGGTCTGTTTTATGGCTGATAATATCGCAGCCTATTACAATATCTCGCCTTCGGCTCTGGGATGATTCAGCAGCCTCAGCCAAGAGGCATTCGATGCGATTCGTGCGCGAGGCGCCTGTGCTGGTCCATATACCGGCATTGTGTATGGTATTCAATGAACGGAGGGTCGATGGAGACGCTGACCCATACACAATACACCCGTAATCCACGACAGGACGGATGATAGTCCTATATAGACGCAAAAGACATACTCTGCGTCTCATGATCTACCAGTAAGGGTACGAAGGAAGATCAATACAGGTACTCAGCGTCTCTTCAAGTTCTGAATGTGCTTTCGCCACGTTAAACTTTTGTCGAATGTCATGCCAAGGAAAGTGGCAGATTTGACGAAGGGAAGTCGATGACTCCCCCACAATCAGGATGATTATGGAGGTGATGTATTCTACCGAAGTGCATGCAAATGGATTTTGAGGGGGAGAACTTGAATCCTGTTTTATCGCTCCATTCTTGCAATTTGTTGAGGACAAGCTGTAACTGCCTCTCAGTAACTTGCATGCTCTTCGAGGAGCTGAATATACCAAAGTCGTCAACGAAGAGCGATGCTTTCACAGGCTCTCGATACTGATACGATACTATTGATAGCAACGGCAGAGTGACACTCAAAATTGATCCCTGGGGAACACCGTTTTCTAATTGGTGACTTGAGAATAATGTGTCACCAAAACGGACGCGGAAAGATCTTGATGAAAGAAACTACTATAAACGAAGGGAGTCGTCCCCTAAGGACCCAAGAATACAAGGTGCGAAGAATGCTGCACCTCCAGGTGGTGTCATACGCTTTCTCCATGTCGAAAAAAATACTACCAGGTGTCGTAGCACGAAAGGAGTGGAGATATGAGTGGCAAGGGAGGCTATTGGAATAACAATGGCTTCACGCCAAATCCTTGCAAAGGAATGTTCATGTCAAATAAAGTTGAAAAAGCGGAGGAGAAAATAACGAGCATTTTTAGGTAGGTGTTTAAGCATTTGATTATGTATCTGGTCTGGTCCTGTAGCAGAATCGTTTGCACAAGCGAGAGCACAGGAAAATTCATCCATGGAGAAAGGATCATTGTAGTCTTCGTCCACGCGAATCTAGAAATCCAGTCTGCAGTTCTCCATTCTTCTTTTAGTTTTCAGAAAGCTAGGAGAGTAGTGTACGGAGCTGGAGATGTGCTCGTAGTGAGAGGCCAATTCTTTAACTATCTTCTGGTGAGGTGAGTAGACTTCCATTTACTAGAAGCCCTGAGACAGACGACGGAGGAAGTCTTCCACCGATCTTTCGAAGTTTTCGCCACATTACTTCAGAGGGCATATGGCAAGAGAATGATGAAATATAGACTCTCCAGGACGGGGCCTTACTTTCCCGTATGGTCAATCTAGTTCTGGCTCGTGATCTATTATATTTGATCAGATTGCCCATGGTTTGGAACCTACAAAGCTTTGCCAAAGCTTGATTCTGATCCCGCACCGCAGTGGCACATTCGGCATTCCACCATGGCACGGGAGGATGTCTTGGGTGACCCGATGACTTCGGGATGGCAATTGAGGCCGCATGGAGAATGGCATCAGTAAAATGGGCAACCATAGCATCAATATCGTTTGGGCAGGTTTCCGATATCCGTATTTTTTCTCGAAAGTTTCCCACTCAGATCTGTGGATTAGCCAGCGAGCGGGACGAGCAACGTTTGGATTGGGAATATCGAAATTGACCAGAATGGAGAAGTGGTCACTGCCATTCAGGTCGCCAAGGTCAGCCCACTCAATAAGGTAGAGGGAGATGAACTACAGAGTCAGAGAAAGTTTAAAGCAACAGAGAAATGTGTGCTTTCGCCAGTATTCAGAAGAATTATGTTCCGGTTATCAATAATATTTTCAAATATATTGCCTCTCGAACAGATCCTAGTGCTACCTCAGACGGGATTGTGGGCATTGAAGTCTCCCACAATAAGAAAAGAAGCGTACATCTGCGATAACTTATCTTCAAGTTCCTCTTGCGACACGACTTGGTATTGATAGTTATTGATATAGTGCGGAAGTTCACACAAATGCAAGATGTCTGAAGAATGGTTGGTATGTTTATTTCTTTGGACGCCAGGGAGTCTGTGACTAATGTAATGACTCCGCTATGTGCCCGGAGGGCATCATCAATGTCTTGCCTATAGCCGCAAAAGCCACTGAGAGAGGTAATGCTCGGGAAGATGTGTTTTCTGCAGGCAGATGACAACGGGTGTATGCAGAAACGTTATCAGCTTTAATTAATCTAAACGGGTGCGGAAGTCATTCAGATTCCACGAGAAGAGAGCCATAACTTTAAGATGTCAAGTTTCTTCTAAAGGGAATTTTTCTTCCCATTTTTTCGTTTATGCCTCTGTTGCCCGTAGGGGCAACTGTCTACCCCGGCTGAAGTTTCCTCCGAGGCAGATTCCTCCTGAGCACTGCTCGACGGGCTAAGAGATCGCGCAGAGCGAGTCTCAAGAGTCGGGGTAGGTGATCGGAGTTTGAAGGAACGATCTTTTAAGGAACGTTTGAAGGAACGACTTTTTAAGTTTGTCTGAGCCAGAAGGCCGAGTGACATCGGTCTTGATGCGCGGATGCGTCCAACTTCGTTTTGTGCGGTTTTTTTCGAGAACTCACATTTGGATGGAACTATAATCTTCCCGCCTTGCAGAGGCGATGTTCCTAACTTCTCTGTCACTCTGATCTTTTGAATCTCCCTCAGATATGTAGGGCACCTGTTCGGGTTGGTCTCCTTCGCAGTTAACACAACGAAGTGGGCAAGGCACAGGGATCCGCATCCGAATCGTTCGTAGATTTGCCGCAAACAGGGCTGACCACTGACACTTGAATCAGCACATGGGGTTTGGCACATACTACCGCACTTGGAAATTGTAAAAACCACAACTAATCCTCTCTGGGAGAGAGGGGAGATTAAACGTCAAGAACAGTGAGGGAGTAGGGATCTCTCTCCCATTCTCCTTCCTCTTGATCTTAATCACCTCCGTTACGCCCTGACTCTTGAAGAAAGACAGAAGTTCCTCCTCACTTTCGGACGCAAAGCCATCGTGATTCACCACTACCTTACATAGGGTAGGGGTAGGGTGAGTGATCACGTCCCACCTTGAGGCTGGCAATCTGCTTTGTTTTCGAGATTTTTTCGATTTTCTTATCGAAGCGTGCTTCGAAAAGAATGGTACTATTCCTCGTGACGTACCACCGCTTGGAGTTTACCGAAACTGTCCTCAAGGGCTCGGGCGGGACGAACCTCACTTGTTAAACATTTTCCCTTCTTGCATGCACGCCATCAACAGGAAACGTGGCTTCTTTGATTTATCTTCCTCCCGAAGGAAGAAACTACACAAATCCACTGTTTTCTCAAAACATCGCCTCTTTCTTCCAAAGGGCAAGGGGTTTGTTTTATGCTCCATAGAATTGATATTCGTTTCCGTGCTCCGTACCAACCACGGAGTCCAACAAGGGGACCCCCACTGGGGTGCCAGGGTAGATACGAAGATATGGTGGGAAGATGTCACAGCGCTGCCCCGCCGTGGATCCTTCCGCCCACCCTGGAGTTCAGTACAAGACCTAGTCCTAGCCGAGTGGGTTAGCTCCCAACTGCCCGTCTAGAGGAGTCCGAGGCCAAAGCAAGTGTGTTGGAAACCTACAAGGAATGCTCCCCAAAATACGTAAACAACGTACCCATAGGTGCAAGGCAGAAAGTAGCACAAGGAGTAGTTTGGAAACAAGCACGTCCCTCAACCGCCAGGACACACCTTCCCTCCGACACGTGTCG